AAGAAAGTAGGGTTTCACCATTGTTGTCAAACCAGGCTGGGTCTTTGGATCCTGAACTCAATGTCAATCCCTCCTGACTCAATCAGCTTCTCAAAGCCTTGGGAATTACAGGCATGAGCCACGGTTGCCCCCACCTAGATTTATTGTTTTCTTCTAGGTTGTCCTGGTTTAGACGGCAAACAATACTTAGGTACATGAAAGACACAACAACGTGAATATTTCTGTCGGCAAAAAAGCTATTTAATTTCTTTTCTTAAAGGTGGTTTTAAAAATATCTTATACACCGGCTGGAGTGCAGTGGCTCATCACCTGGTAACCCCAGCACTGTTGGTGAGGCCAAGCGCGGGTTGGATCACTGGAGGGTTGGGTGTGCAAGACCAGCCTGGACCAAATGCATATTTGAAACCCGCGGTGTCTGCTACGTAACAGAAATAGAAAAAAACATGTAGGCCAGCGTGGGACGGTGGCGCGAAGTGCTCTACGCGCAATCCCAGCTGACGTCAGAGGCGTGGAGCGGCGATGAGAAATCGCGTTGAGACCTGGAGGTGAGGTTGCAGTGAGCCGGGATCACTTGCCATTGCAACTCCATGTTCGGGCGCAGTGAGTAAGAGCCAAACTCGGGGGTGTGTGCGAAAAAAAAAAAAAAAAAAAAGATTTATTTTGGCAAAGGTAAAATACGCTTGTTGTATTGATAATGGGCTGGGTACAGTGGCTTATGCCTGTAATCCCAACACTGTGGAAGGCTGAGACAGGAGGATCACTTGAGGTGAAGAGTTTGTGGCCAGCATGGGCAACACTGCAAGACCCCATCTTTACAAAAAATACAAAAATTAGCCAAGTGTGGTGGTGGTATGCACCTGTATCCTCAACTACTCAGAAGGCTAAGGTGGGAGGATCACTTGAGCCCAGAAGTCGAGGTTGCAGTGAGCAACGATCACACCATGGTAAGACCTCATCTCAAAAATAAAAAAATAGGCCGGGCGCGGTGGCTCACGCCTGTAATCCCAGCACTTTGGGAGGCCGAGGCGGGCGGATCACAAGGTCAGGAGATCGAGACCACGGTGAAACCCCGCCTCTACTAAAAATATAAAAAACTAGCCGGGCGTGGTGGCGGGCGCCTGTAGTCCCAGCTACTTGGGAGGCTGAGGCAGGAGAATGGCAGGAACCCAGGAGGCGGAGCTTGCAGTGAGCCGAGATCGCGCCACTGCACTCCAGCCAAGGGGAGAGAGTGAGACTCCGTCTCCAAAAAAAAAATAAAATAAAATAAAATAAAAAAATAAAAAAATAAAATTTATTAATAAATAAATATGCTTGTTTTCACTGTAGAAAACTTCATTTTGAATAGTATTTCATTCCAAGAAAGCGTATTACCTCTTTAATATTTACCTAACAGTTTTAAAACACAAGGAAGACATTTTACAATGGCTTCATGTCTACTAGTTCCAGTCTAGTGTCCTGACTCACTTCGAGAATCAGAACCTCTCTGCCCTTTCCCAGGTCTTACCTCAGATGCCTTCAGGTTAATGTACTTGAGGTAACAGTCATGGAGATCGAGATAACGACCATATCCCTCTTCATCTGTGAACTCCACCAAGTCTGAGGGAATCAGATACATCAATGATTCAGTTTATACACACCAATCTCTTGGACTTATCTTTTCAAATGGACTGCTTGTTCCTAGTTTCCTGAGGCAGCACTTCACCCAAATGTCCTCCCTTTGCTCACAATATAACCTCCAATAAGTTAAGTGAGATCAAAAGTGAGTGTTCTCTTACAAGGTAACAAGGGCTGACTCCTTTTAGTATTGTGACCTAAAGTGAACAATCCTTGGCTTTCCAAGCCAGTAAATTTGAGGTAGGAGAGAATAAAATGAACACTGTGCGCCCAAGACCAATTTAGGATGTGACTCTAGCCCAGAAACCAGCAAAGACGAAACCAGCAAGAAATCCTGGCTATAAATACATCTGAGGCCATGGCTGCAAATCTGAGCTGTAATTAATCTGTACTTTTGCTGGTGCCGAATGAAATTTTCACCTCTACTTACTTTGTGCCTCTTCACTCGGATTCTCTCGAGCCTTCAGGAGCTCCTCAAATTCCACTGACATTGGCACACAGATCTGAGGGGAAAAGTAAAAGCTCAGGTGGATTTTTCTTTTTTGTTTTTGAGACGGACTCTGCTCTGTTGCCCAGGCTGGAGTGCACTGGCACAATCTTGGCTCACTACAACCTCTACTTCCCAGGTTCAAGCGATTCTCCTGCTTTGGCCACCCGAGTAGCTGGGACTACAGGCACGCACCACCATGCTTGGCTAATTCTTGTATTTTTAGTGGAGACAGGGTTTTGCCATGTTGCCCAGGCTGGTCTTAAACTCCTAAGCTCAAGTGATCTGCCCAGCTTGGCCTCCCAAAGTGCTGGGATTACAGGCATGAACCACTGTGCCTGACCTCAGGTGGATTTTTCAATGTAAAAGTTGCAAGATCACAGAAATGAAATACACAGAAAGTTGGACTTCTGATGATTTGGCCTTGATTTTTCACTAGGAACCTACTACTGTTCTCCAATTACCTTGTTTTTCCCCGCTTTTTTGTATTGTTTGAGTAAAACTCACTAAAGTAACACATGCTCACAAAACCTCAAAAGTCCACCTTTATTAATTCTCCTGAGAACAGGTATCCACTGTTAACAGAGCTTTTGCTATGTTTTGCTATGCCAGTGGTTCCCAAACTTTGCTGCATATTAGAATCACCCGGGGAGTTTTTTTTTTTAATTCTGATGCACTTGATACCAATTAAATCAAAGGCAGGCAGGTATCAGTACATTTTAAAGATCCCCAGGTGGCTCAAATATGCACAAAGTTTGGAAAACAGTGCTCTATATATTTAAATATATGTATTTGTACAAGTACATTCATGCCTGCATACTTTTTTTTTTTTTTTTTAGCATAAAAGACTTGCTTCTGACAGTATATCTTGGGCATCCTTCTAACCAGTTATTTAAGCATTTATTCCTCGTTACCTTTTGACCATGGCTGGAATAAGGTTAACACATCAGAATGGTATTCATTTATTCTCTCTTGGTTAGCAGAAGACCTCATTCTCTATCCTCCAAGGGGCCTATGTGTGTGAGGATCCCTTTGTTTACCCCCACACTATGTACTGCAATAAATAGCCTCTATTTTTTTGCTGTTTTTAATCTCTTCCTTTTTCCCTGTGCTCCTTCAAATAAGCATGCTGCTTCTTTTTTTTTTTTTTTTTTGAGACGGACTCTCGCTCTGTCCCCCAGGCTGGAGTGCAGTGGGCTGGAGTGCACTGGCACAATCTTGGCTCACTGCAACCTCCATGTCCTGGGTTCAAGCGATTCTCCTGCCTCAGCCCCACAAGAAGCTGGGATCACAGGCGTGCACTACCAAGCCCAGCTAATTTTTGTGTTTTTAGTAGAGACGGGTTTCACCACGTTGGCCAGGCTGGTCTCAAACTCTTGACTTCGTGATCCACCTGCCTCAGCCTCCCAAAGTGCTGGAATTACAGGCGTGAGCCACTGAACCTGGCTGCTACCAGCCTTTCAAATGCATGTTCCATACTCCATACTTATACTTCCCCATTACCTATCTTTACCTTGTGACCAGATTTCCATTCCTACTACTTTAATGAAACAGCAATCCTGGCAGTTATCAATCAATAAGTTGACACCATGACTGCCTTTCTGAAACTCTCTTTTGCTTAACTTCTGTAAGGCAACACCACCTGGAGTGGTCATGTGACCTTTCTGATGGAAGCCTTCCCAGGCCCTTTTTCTCTTAACTACCTTATAAGTGAGCTCCAGGGTATATGAGGGCTAGGCGCGGTGGCTCACGCCTGTAATCCCAGCACTTTGGGAGGCTGAGGTGGGTGGATTATGAGGTCAGCAGATCGAGACTATCCTGGCTAACATGGTGAAACCCTGTGTCTACTAAAAAATACACAAAATTAGCCGGGCGTGGTGGCGGGCACCTGTAGTCTCAGCTACTCAGGAGGCTGAGGCAGGAGAATGGCGTGAACTCGGGAGGTGGAGTTTGCAGAGAGCCGAAATCGTGCCACTGCACTCCAGCCTGGGTGACAGAGTGAGATTCCATCTCAAAAAAAAAAAAAAAAAGACAGAGTTAGGAGCATAATTTATTGGGGGGAGTAATTTCTGTGAAAGATAAAAAGGAGGAGAAAGCAGGATTAGGCCAGGATAGCCTAGACCACAATGCAGATTGGACAAAATCTTGACCCACCCAATGGGGAGCCGTGGAGCAAAGATTACTCATCAGGAGTCTCACAGTGGACCAAATTGCTGGGCCCTAGTACCCATACTGTGCTTAGTCACTGGCCAGGAGCTGCCCACGAAATGTGGCCTTGGCTTTTTTTTGAGATGAAGTCTCACTCTTGTCCCTCAGGATGGTGTGCAATGGCGCAATCTCGGCTCACTGCAACCTCCGCCTCCCGGGTTCAAGTGATTCTCTTGTCTCAGCCTCCCAAGTAGCTGGGATTACAGGTGCATGCCACCATGCCTGGCTAATTTTTGCATTTTTAGTAGAGATGGGGTTTCACTATGTTCGTCAGGCTGGTCTCGAACTCCTGACCTCAGGTGATCCGCCGACCTCAGCCTCCCAAAGTGCTGGGATTACAGGTGTGAGCCACCGCACCCGGCCAGCCTTGGCTTTAAAGCTGAGGGAGATGCTGAAAACACTGCAGTTGTAGGATGTCAGCTAACTATGGTCCTCGCACCTAAATGGCAAGTTCTTTCTTGAAGTGCATTTGAATAGCACATGTCCAGTTTCCTTTATATGCTTTAAAGATAGGTCTGGAGAAAATACTTTTCGGAGGACATACCTCATTTGGGTGCTTCCGGTGGAATTCCTTTATTTGCTTGAGTCTATTATAGAATTCAGCAAACTCATTGGGTCCTGAAATGGCATTGAGCTCCTCCTTTCGTAATCTGCAATTTCAGGAAAATTTCAAAGATAGAGCACAAAGTCAGTCCTCTAACCATGGCTCCTCAGAAGCACTAACTCCTAGATTAGCTGTGACTGTCACTTACCCATCCTTATCATCATACAAATCCCTCAGGTTCCCACTGACCTCCATATACCTCTGAAAGGCAAATACAAAACCATCAGAATGAGGCAATTTGCACAAATGTACAGCTAAGCAAACAACAAGGGCTCTCCAGTCAAAGCCCAGGGCAATCTCAAGAGATATGGACATGGTCTTAACAGTTCTGTGCTTCCTAGTACCTTTAATAGCCCTGTTTCCTGGTTAGTTTTTCAATAGCCCTTTAACAGCCCTGATTCCTGGTTAGTTTTTTAAGCAGGTCGATTGGAAGATTACCTAAATGATAACATTTAAGGGGTGGCTCCTATTTTTACATACCACCGATGCCTAACTTTCCCTGTAACAGACTCACCCTCTTTGGCTAAACACTAGCTCCCACCTAACATCCTCAAAGATAAAGATGATATTTACTATTTCAAAAAGCTTGACTGAGGAGTAGACAGGCTAAATAAACATTACATAGGCTTCCTTTGTAGTCAAAATATACTAATTCGGGATGGTACAGGTACATAGTCCCCTCCTCCAAAACTTTTGGGCCCAGATTTGTTTCAGAATTTGGAATTTTTAAGTTCAGAAAAGGTATCACATATTATGTAACAGTCCTAGTGGAATCTGGAGCACACAGTTCTGCAGTAAACTTTATATCTTATTTACTAAGTGGGGTAAATTAAAGACCATAAAAAGCCTATCACAGGTTCAGGCCAGTAAACCTGTCAAGTGACAGCAGGTCAGGTTTTGACACCAAATAATCACTCAAGGGGAAAAAAATAAAATCCTTGGTTTTCAGAGTATTTTAGGGCTGAGGGCTTGTAATCTGATCATCTCCTGAAAATCAGAAGGTCCAAGTAAGTCTTTTATTCCTTTTTAAACAGGTTTCAAACGTACCCAAGAGTAAGGAACGTAGTAAAATGAACCTCCATTTACTCATCACCTTGTTTAAAAATTTAAATAGCATCTTGTTTTTCTTTTAAGTAATAAATTGAACTACTACCAGACAAATGCAGTTTAGTAGTCCAAAATGCTTTAAAGCAGTATCCTGGGAGAAAAACACTAATATATGGTATACATACATATATATATATATATATTTTAAGGCAAGGATTGTAGCTATGCACCTGAGTCATGGACTCCTCATAACTATTGTTTGCACATCCAAGGGATACAGGATGCTGTAAGAACGGACACGTGTAAGCCGGGCGCAGTGGCTCAAGCCTGTAATCCCAGCACTTTGGGAGGCCGAGGTAGGTGGATCACGAGGTCAGGAGTTCGAGACCAGCCTGACCAACATGGTGAATCTCCGTCTCTACTAAAAATACAAAAATTAGCTGGGCGTGGTGGCGAGCGCCTGTAATCCCAACTACTCCGGAGGCTGAGGCAGGAGAATCGCTTGAACCCGGGAGTCGGAGGTTGCAGGGAGCCGAGACCGCGCCTGGGCAACAGAGCGAGACTCCGTCTCAAAAGACAAAAAAAAGGGGGGGCACCTTTCCGATTAACGAAGAATGCGTAAGAGTTCCCCATTCAGAGAACTGAGGAAGCACCCTTACATTCGGCAGCCTGTGGACATCCGTCCAGGCAGAGAGCTCGCGACTGGCCAATCCGGTTACCTTTGGCCAGTGCTCATGCTGAGACCCCGCACTTCACTTCCCCTCTCTTTTCCCGCCCTCGCCAACCCAAAGAGTGACAGACAGCTGGGCACTCACATCTTGCATGGCCCGAGTGCGGTGATCAGAATTGATCTGGTCCCGGAGCTGAAAAAGCAAACGGTGACACAAACGCCGTTAGCTTGCGTTCCGGAATAGAAAAGGCCGCCCGAGGGCGGAGCTTACCCGCTCAGGTTTTATCCGCTCAGGTTTTAGCAGCTGAGGAAGAAAGGCCTCTGGGGCTCTGGACCCCGGGAGGAGGTTACCAAGACCGGAGCTCGGAGAGGGAGCCCCGGAGGAGGCAGGAGGCGGAGTGCGGGGAGGCGCTGAGGGCCAAAGCAAGCTCTCAGAGGTCAAACACGGGATTGAGGCCCATGCCCCTGCCGCAGCCCCTGCTCAGGCCCCACTCACCGTGGACTTCTTAGTGAGCATCTCTTTAGCCATGACGTCCATGAGCCGTTCCTTCTCCTCATGATAGCGCCGCTGCTGCTCCAGTATTGTCTCCATCTTCCCTTAGCCGCAGCCTCCCAATTCAGACCACCTACACGGCCGGAAGCAACTCCTGCCGCCCGGCGCGCCTGAGTCCCCACGTTGCGCATCCAGCTGCATCAAAGTTCCGCGAGTGCCGGAAGTGCCCGGGGACTTAGGAAAACATGAGCACCACGAGGAAGGCCAGTCTATGTTATGGAGATGGCAACAGTGCCACCTGCTGGTGGGAGGTGTGGTGGAGCGATGCCGAGAGGTTTGCAGATACCTCCAGGGGGCATAGGAAAACCCAAGAGCCCGAGGTTCAGCGGACCGCTTCCTGGGGCTTGCTGGGGCCGGCTGGGCGGGCAGGTACACTGTGGGGACTGCGCGAGCAGTTGGAGTGCGGCTGGGAGATGGGAAACCGGAACTTGAGGACGCAGCTTTCAGCGTAAATTATGAGAACATTTTCTGCTTCTCTGGACTTCAGCACCTTTCTTAGTAAAATGGGAATAGTGGGGTTTTGCTGGTGGTGTTTTTAAAGAAATTCACATGTGAGGCTGGGCGCAGTAGCTCACGCCTGTAATCCAGCACTTTGGGAAGCCGAGGCGGGCGGATCACTTGAGGTCAGGGGTTCGAGACCAGCCTGGCCAACATGGTGAAACCCCGTCTTTACTAAAAACAAACAAACAAAAATTAGCCGGGCGTGGTGGCACACACCTGTAGTCTCAGCTACTCCGGAGGCTGAGGCAGGAGAATCTCTTGAACCTGGGAAGCAGAGATTGCAGTGAGCTGAGATCGTGCCACTGCACTCCAGCCTGGGCAACAGAATGAGACTCAGTCTCAAAAAAAAAAAAAAAAAAAAAAAGGAAGAAAGAAATTCACGTGTAGAAACGACTTGTCTATCGGCAGGGAATATGTTAAATAAAATACTGTGCATCCAACGGGCCAACGAGGTCAGATCAAGACCATCCTGTCTAACATGGTGAAACGCCGTCTCTACTAAAAATACAAAAAATTAGCCGTCATGGTGGCACACGCCTGTAGTCACAGCTACTCGGGAGGCTGAGGCAGGAGAATCGCTTGAACCCAGGAGGCAGACATTGCAGTGAGCTGAGATCAAGCCACTGCACTCCAGCCTGGGCGACAGAGACAGACTCCGTCTCAAAAAAAGTAAAATAAAATAAAATACTGTGCATCCAAGCAGAGGAAGACCAGCTGTGAAATGCTATACAGCCTTTAAAAAAAAGATTGTGTCTATATATCTTCACTTGTAGGTAGAGAAATGCAAACATGTCCATGTGTTCACATGTTCACGGCGGCATTATTCATAATAGACAAAAACTGGATGCAACCCAAGAGTCTATTAACTGGCAAATGGATAAAGTGTGGTATATCTATACAGTACAATGGAACATTATCCTGCAATAAATGAATACTACAGTGATGAACCATGAAAGCATCATGCTAAGTGAAAGAAGCCAGATAGAAAAACAAGTGTATGTTCAGATAAAATGTCCAGAACGGTGTTAAAAGAAAAACACTGGTGCTCACTATGGCAGCACATATACTAAAATTGGAACCATACAGAGATTAGCATAGCCCCTGCGAAACAAAAAAACCAAACCAAAAACACCGGTTACAGCTTGGCCTTTGCCTTATTTGAACATGGTTTGCATAGTTTGCCGTTTGATTGGCCAAAACTCGGTGATTGGCAAAGGGTAGGCTATGGTCTGTTTACAACTCCATTTAGGTTATAGTTCACCATATACAGAGAAACCTTTAGGCTAAATTTAAAATATGTAAGGAGGCAGCTTTAGGCTAAACTTGATTTAACAAAGGCAAATCTATGGAGGCAGAAAGTATATGAGTGGTTGCTTGTGACCGGCGGAGAGATTGGAAATGATTACAAATGCGCACAAGGAATCCATTTTGGACAGATAGCAATGTTCTAAAATTGGATTGAATACAATTGCATAACTCTATTCACTTTACTAAAATTAATTGCACTGTACTGTTAAAATGGGTGAATTTTATGGTATATAAATTATACGTCAATAAAACTGTTAAAAACTCTATATGAACTCACATGGAGAGATGGCCACACAAACTGAAAAAAGCTAGATGCACAAGTGTGTATAAAAATAGATGTGCAAAGAGATTATTTCTGTAAGGATATCCAAGTAACAGTAAACAGTGGTTGTTCCTGAGCAGACAGCCTTGGAGATCTGATATGGGAGATTTTTCTTTGTATACACCCTAAGCACAGCATGAAAAGTTATTTTTAAACACAGTTTTTCAATTTAAAAATTAATTTAAAACTGAAAATACATATGTGCACATTTATGTTTAACAAAAAAGAATGAGGACATAATACATCACATTATTAGTAATTTACCTATTGTTCACTTTTTTCTTTTTCTTTTTTTGATAGGGTCTCTCTCTGTTGCCCCAGGCTGGAGTACAGTGGCATGATCATGGCTCACTGCAGCCTCCACCCCTGGGGCGCCCACATGTGGGGGCCACCACCCTGGTTAATTTTCTTTTTCCCCACGCAACAAAAGCCACATTTAAAGTTTTGTTTTGGGAGTCTCTCTCTGTCGCCAGACTGGAGTGCGGGGGCGGGATCTCCACTCACGGCAACCTCCACCTCCCGTGTTCAAACGATTCTCCTGCCTCAGCCTCCTGAGTATCTGGGATTACAGGTGCATGCCATCACACCTGGCTTATTTTTGTATTTTTAGTAGAGATAGGGTTTTGCTCTGTTGGCCAGGCTGGTCTTGAACTCCTGACCTCAGGGTGATCTGCATGCCTTGGCCTCCCAAAATGCTGGGATTACAGGTGTGAGCCACTGCACCCAGTCAAGGATTTTTTTGTTTGTTTGTTTGTTTTGAGACAGGGTCTTGCTGTGTCATCCAAGCTGGAATGCAGTGGCACGATCTTGGCTCACTGCAACCTCCGCCTCCTGGGTTCAAGCATTCTGCCTCAGTCTCCCTAGTAGCTGGGATTACAGGTGTGTGGCACCATGCCCAGCTACTTTTTGTATTTTTAGTAGGGATAGGGTTTTGCTGTGTTGGCCAGGCTGGTTTTGAACTCCTGACCTCAGGGTGATCCGCCCACCTTGGCCTCCCAAAATGCTGAAATTACAGGCATGAGCCACCACACCAGGCCGAGGTTTTTATGTTTTTTGAGACAGGGTCTTGCCAAGCTGGAGTGCAGTAGCATGATCTTAGCTCACTGCAGCCTCGACCTCCTGGGCTAAAGCTATCCTCCCACTTCAGCCTCCTGAGTAGCTGGGACTATAAGTGCACGCCACTACACCCTCCTAGTTTTTGTGTTTTTTGTAGAGACAGGGTTTTTTGCCATGTTGCCCAGGCTGGTCTCAAACTCCTGGACTCAAGCGATCTTCCTGCCTTGGCCTCCCAAAATGCTGGGATTATAGGCATGAGTCACCAGACCTGCTGTAATTTTTTTTGTTTGTTTGTTTTGTTTTTGTTTTTGTTTTTTACTAGAGATGAGGTCTCACTGTGGTGCCCAGGCTGGTCTGCAACTCCTGAGCTCAAGCAATCGTCCTGCCTTGGCCTCCCAAAGTGCTGCGATTACAGGCGTGAGCCACCGCACCCAGCCCAATTTGTCTACAATAAACATGAATGACTTTTTGTTTCTAAAAGTTTGAAAACAGGCTGGGTGTGGTGGCTCACGCCTGTAATCCCAGCACTTTGGGAGGCCAAGCTGGGAATTTCGCTTAAAACCAGGAGTTCTAGAACAGTCTGGGCAACATAGCGAGACCTCATGTCTACAAAAAAATAAGAAAATTAGCTGGGCTTGCTGGCACTTGCCTGTACTCCCAGCTACATGGGAGGCTGAGGCAGGAGGATCACTTGAGCCCAGGGGTTCGAGGTTATAGTGAGCTATGATCATGCCACTGTACTCCAAGCCTGGGTGACACGGTCTCAAAAAAGAAAAAAAAAATGTTTGAAAAAACGGAGGCCGGGCATGGTGACTCACGCTTGTAATCCCAGCACTTTGGGAGGCCGAGGTGGCAGATCACAAGGTCAAGAGATCGAGACCATCCTGGCCAACATGGTGAAACCCCTGTCTCTACTAAAAACACAAAAAAATTACTGGGCGTTGTGGCGCATGCCTGTAGTCCCAGCTACTTGGGAGGCTGAGACAGGAGAATCACTTGAACCCAGGAGGTGGAGGTTGCAGTGAGCCGAGATCACGCCACTGCACTCCAGCCTGGCGATAGAGTGAGGCTCTGTCTAAATAAATAAATAAATAAATATAAAATTGAAATAACGACCTGTGTTCTGCCCACTCACGGAGGTGTTACGAGGATCTTATTTGTATATCGGAAATTTAAACAGAACTGCCAAGCTTAGGGAAAGGAACCAGTCACAATGCATCTGGGGCTTTTCCTGGGACATTAGGAAAGAGGTAAAGTAGAAATCTCCATTCAGGGAGTGTGGAGACTCAGCAAATATTTTTTGTTTTGTTTTGTTTTTTGGGGGTATAAACTTCGGTATTTCTTGAATATGAGATGCCATCAAATGTAAACTCAGTATTATTTTATGCTTTACTAAGGAAGAGAGAAAAAATTGTCAATTAAACAATGACACATCTTTGATTATACGTCTGGGTTTCTTCTTTTTTTAAGATGGAGTTTTGCTCTTGTCCCCCAGGCTGGAGTGCAGTGGTGCGATCTTGGCTCACTGCAACTTCCACCTCCGGATTCAAGTAATTCTCCTGCCTCAACCTCTGGAGTAGCTGGGATTACAGGTGACCACCACCACACCCAGCTAATTTTTGTATTTTTAGAAGAGGTGGGGCTTCATCATGTTATCCAGGTTGGTCTCAAACTCCTGACCTCAGGTGATCCACCCGCCTCGGCCCCCCAAAGTGCTGGGAGGCGTGAGCCACTGCGCCTGGCCTTGATTATATGTCTGGGTTTCTAAGATGTTAAGTCTGAAAAATGTTTGTATTGAAATAAATCAAACAGTTTCGTGGCTGTACATCTCTTACTTCCCGTGAGGTGGGTGGACTGCCTTACCACCACCATCCTCCAGTCACTCTGTCTCAAACCTGATGCCTTTCTGCCCCTAAATGTTTCTCCATCCCCACTCCAGGCAGTAAGTCTTGCCTTTTCCATTCGAGCTGCTACCTGCTGCAAGCTGTCTCCCCTGGACCACTACCCTGGCCTCCAAACCAGCCTGCTCATCTTACCCCTCCACTCTATTATTCATGCTGCAGCCAGCATGATCTTTCTAAAACTCCGCTCACCCCAGGCCCCTGCTTAAACAGTTCCATAGGCTGCATTTCCTGCAGGGTGAGGTCTGTGCAACTTGGCATTCAGCTTTTAAGGACCTGGGCTCTGCCTGCCCTTTTACTCTCCTGGCACTTCCTCCAAATGGAATTACTTGCTACTTCCCCAAAGCACCGTATGTTCTCAGACCTCCAGGCCTTTGCACCAGTTGTTTTCTATGCTTGGACTGCTCTTCCTCAACAAGTATTTATTGAACACATAGTAAGTGCCAGGAGCTGAGAACGAGGCGGGTGCAAGGCAGGCAGGATCTCAGTCCTTATTTAGGCTGGTGGGAGAGAGAAACAAAACCGTAAGCCTATATGGTAATTATTAAGTATAAACACACGTCGGTAGGCATTCATAAAGGTTTCCTGAAAATGTCGGGGAGGGTGGGGCGCGGTGGCTCACGCCTGTAATCCCAGCACTTTGGGAGCCCGAGGTGGGCGGATCATTTGAGGTCGGGAGTTCGAGACTAGCCTGACCAACATGGAGAAACCCTGTCTCTACTAAAAATGTTTACAAAAACAACCCTGGGTCGGGCGTGGTGGCTCACGCCTATAATTCCAGCACTTTGGGAGGCCAAGGCGGGTGGATCACTTAAGCTCAGGAGTTGCAGACCCGCCTGGCCAACATGATGAAACCCCATCTACTAAAAATACAAAATTAGCAGCGTTTGGTGGCACATGCCTGTAAATCCAGCTACTAGGGAGGCTGAGGCAGGAGAATTACTTGAACCTGGGAGACGGACGTTGCGGTGAGCCGAGATCGCGCCACTGCACTCCAGCCTGGGTGACAAGTGAGAAACTCCGTCTCAAAAAAAAAAAAAAAGAAAAGAAAATGTCGGGGAGGGAACTTAGAGGGCGGGTCAATAGGTGCAGCAAACCGCCGTGCAGACGTATACCTATCTAACAAACCTGCACGTTCTGCACACGTGTCCTGGAACTTAAAGTAAAATTAAAAAAAAAAAAAAGAAAGAAAAAGGAAAATGTCAACCACGGCTTCAGAAAGCGATTGGAGCCCAGGATCTACCAGTGACTACCTATGTGACTTGGGGCAGCTGACTGCGCGCGTCTCCACCTCTGTGTAATGGCAGTAATAATGCCCGCCCACAGGATTTCGGGGAGGATTTAATACGCGATACATACAATCTCGCGGTTTCCGCTGGGCCGGAGGGGCCCCCCTACTCCAGGGCGCCGAGGGTCCGCCTGCCCAGGGCCGGGCCCCGCCGCAGGCAGCTGTGGGCGCCACCGTGTGCGCGTACCTGCCCGGAGAGCCGGACCGCCAGGCCCAGACCGCGGATGCCAGGGTCTGGCACGAGGGGCATCGGACGCCAGGCGAGGGGAGCGTCGCCCCGCCCATCTCCCCACTTTGGGGGACAGCCCCCCTCGCTCATTCCCGCCTCCACCCTTGACTTGAATCACTGTTGGGGGGGGTGGGACGGGGCGTGACCCATTCATGCCGGGAATCGGATCCAGATGTTCCTGCGGCGTGTGCAGCTGCATCCTTGCCTTTTTTGGCAAAAAACGTGCGGTCGCGAGCGGATCCCGGGCCGCCCTCGTTAATCCTTGGGAAGAGGGGGAAGGGGGCTGAGAGGGTCTAGGCCCAGACTGGGGATCGGAACCGGGTTCTTGCTCTGCGGGCTTTGGGAAGGGCTGTTGGCGGAGGGGACTATTGGTACCAGCCAATTAAGGCACCCCACCGCCACCCTCGCTTTCGTCTGGAACCTCCCCCAAACCCCTCCCTTCCCTGCATGGAGGAAAAAGCCCTCTGCCAGCAGGGAGGCAGGCCGAGCTCCAGAGGGACGGTAGCCGTGGCGGGGATCCCCTTCATGGGGAGAGACTTCCCACCCCGTGGCCCGGCCCCCCTCCACCCCGCCCTGCAAGGACGAGGTCTAGAAGAGATTCTGAGCCTCCCAGTCTGCAAAAACCCTTCCTTCCCCTTTATACCCTGCGTGCGCGCGCGCGCGCGCACACACACACACACACACACACACAGGCACACACGGAGGCCCCTGCTTCCTCACACCGCTTTATTGCAGAATCTGGAAGGGGGGTGAGCCAATCTCACCCCTCTGCCCATCTATGGGCAAAATGGAGCTGAAATAAAATGAGAAGACACTCGGTGGCCACCAGCTAGGCAGCACCCTGTACCCTAGGGCCCCCTCATCAGTGGGCCCCTGATTGCTGTCCCCACAGCCTCAGCCCCGGGGGATGGGGTAGGGCAGGTCAAGCTTAAGAACAGTCCACTTTTGAGGACTTCTCAGGCACCCATAGGAGACCTAAAACCTATAAAGAGAAGTCTAGATTTAAGGGGGCCTAAGTCCCAGAGTCCAGGTTTGGAGGGCTGGGGTCTAGAGCCCTGATTTGGGGAGAGGACTCAGTCTGGGAACCCAGACTGCAGGGGAGAGGGTGAGTTCTGGAGTCCAGGTGTGGGGAGTCGGCTTGACTCATGGAGGCTCTATAAGAGCCCAGGTTTGGGGGCCTGGGTCAGGGAGTACCAGTTTGGGGATGCTGGCGTGGGGAAACAATCCTGGAGCCCAGAGGGCGACCCATTTTTTTTGGTTGGGGGGTGGGGCTAAGTCCCAGAGGTGGTTTAGAAAAGGAGCTACAGTCCTGGGCCCGTGGTATGGGAAAGCCTGGGTCCAGGAGCCTGGCTCAGGGCCCTGCCTGGCTACAGCCCTGGCAGAGCACTTGGTCTCCATCCGGCACGAAGCCTTGGCCCACCAGGGAGGTAGAGCAGCGGGCGCAGGAGAAGCAGTTGTGGTGCCAGTGTCGGTCTTCAAAGGACACATACTTGCCTCCACCGAGTCCTGGAGGGAGGCTGGAAGTTAGCTCTGCAGATCTAGGGATGGTCCGGCCCTCAACTTCACCCAATACCACATCCCACTCCCTTGCCTGCACCCTACCCACTCTGTTCTTTGACCCTTGTCCCACCTACGATGGGGCGCTTGCAGCTGCTGCACTTAGGTGCAAAGAGTTCTCCAAAACAGGCCACACAGTAGGGATCTTCATCCCGGGAGGTGAACTGCTGCCCTGCCAGGGGCGTCTGGCAGCCGGTACAGACCAGACATTCTCGATGCCAGGGCTGATCACGGTATGTCACTCCACCCTGTGTCAGCGTCTGTGGGGGCAGCATTCATTAGTAGGTATGAGTGGGGATTCCCACCCCACGACAGGCCTTACTCACCCCCACCTGGCTGGCCCAGCCCCCACCTTGCTGCAGCGGGCGCAGCGAGGAGCAAACTTGTTCTCATAGCAGGGCACGCAGTAGTGAGCACCCTTGTCGGGCACAAAGGAACGGGAGCCCAGCGGCTGCTCACAGCCACTGCACAGGAAGCAGTGCTCATGCCATGTCTGGCCTCCGTACTCCAGCTTCCGGGACCCTGTGGGGAACAGGGGTCCCATTTAGAGGCTGTGTCCCATGCTCCTGAGGGCCACCCTCTGTAACTTCCCCGGGAGTCTCCACTCCTCTCTCAGCCTGAGCAGGGTGGTGTCCAGTGCACATGCAGCAAGAACCCCCCTGCCCCATGTACATTACACATGCTAACCTCTCCCCAGACACCGGACATGATGACCCAGCTAGACACGAGGATTTTGGCATATGTTAAGCCCCCATATGTCCCAGAGATGACAATTTCAGCACATACCGAGCCTCCATGTAACAGTCATGAAGTCTCACTATGAGCTAAGCCCTCATATAACAGATGTGATGATTTCAGCACTCACACGGGACCCCACATGTACCAAGCAAGTAAGTATATGCCCTAATGTCCTCGGCATGACAGGTTCAGTACATGCTAAGCCCTCGCATCTCCTTGGCACACCATTCTCCATAGGTACTGCGTCCCAACATTTCTATTAGGCATGCGGGTCCCCACACATGTTAAGCCCTCTGTTTACCTGCCTCTGCACACACTAAGACCCAATGCAACAAGCATGACAGTCTCAGCACACCTCTAGTTCCTACATGTACTAAACATGCAGATATTCACACATGCTAAGCCCCCAAGTATGTATCACATGTGTCAATCTGCCTGCACATAGTAACCCCCAGTATACCAGGCAAACAGATCCTGCATATACTAAATTTCCAGGAACATGCTGTGTGTGCAGGTCTTTACACAGACCAAGTCTCCATGTATCAGACAGACACATGCAAAGACCCTACGCAGATGCCAGGCATGCCAGTTCTCACACAAGATGAGCCCCTGAGGACATACCAGGCATGACAGTTTCCCCACAGGCGGAGCACTGCGAGGAAAACGCACTGCAGTAGCAGTCATTGCAGAGCAGCTCACTGTCCTGGCAGGTGAAGGGTTCATCGGCTAGTGAGCGCTGGCAGCGGCAGCAGCGGAAGCAGCCCTCGTGGAAATGGCGGTCTTCATAGAACAGCTCCTGTGGGGAACACAGTGGGGGCACTGGCACCCAGGCCTGGTGGATCCATCCTTTGCCCCCTTCCACTGGTCACCACCCACCTCCTGCCTGGCCTGGCCCTCTCCTTACCCTCGAGTCATGCCCGATAAGCTGCTGGCACTCAGCGCAGGTGTTGGCAAAGGTATTGTCATAGCAGGGCACACAGTAGGGGCCGCTGTCTGTCTGGATGTACTTGCGTCCATACAGGGACTCGCTGCATTTTGCACAGTCAAATGACTCGCTCATCGTGGCAAGGAGAGAGAACCCTGTTAGGAGCACAAGGTGGAACTGGGGTCACACAGAGAGGCTGTGACTTGGCTCCTGACAAATAGGCCTCTGCATTCAAAACACAGAAACAGACCCGGCATAGGAAATGCCAGTTCAGAGTAGGTGGTGATGGGGAAGGGGTGCTTCCGGGAAACCAGGAGTCCCGCATGTTTCTTTCTGTATTTAACTGGGGGTAGGAAGAGGTCAGAAAAAAAACCAGGAAGCAGAAGTTGTTTTCTTATCTAGGCCCTAGCAGATCTAGGGGGAGGGGGCTTTTCCTGGGTCGGTGACTCATTTCCTGCCTCAGCCAGCATTTAGCCTCCACTGTCCCGACTGTCCCCAGCGTGGGAGAAGCAGGGGCAGGGAGCCACCCCACTCTACTCCAGATGAGCAGTACTCCCACCCTCTCCTGACTCGGGACTTTAGGAATATGGATCAAGGAACCCTTACCCAGAGCTCTGGAGTACGGAACTTAGAGATGGGAATGGGCTGTTCCTAGCCCCTCCTGATCCAGAAAACAGTGGAATGCTAGAGAGGTGCTGGACTGATGAATGGTGGAGGAGGCCAGTGTGAGAGGTTAGGCCTTCCCTCCCGGGGCATCAGCCAAAGAGGCTCAAGCAGGAAGGAAATCCTGCAAGCTGGACACAGCCAGGCTTCCCCAGCTAGACCCTCTGCCCTCATCCCCCTACCCCCACTGTGTTTCTGGTCACACTGGCTTGGACAGCCTTGGCCTGCAACATCTGCAGCAGCTGTGGCGGCACAGATGGCCAGATGTCAGGTTTTGCCAGCAATGGGGAGAAAAAAGGAAAATGAAGTGTCGGGGGAGGCAGAGGGGAACTGGAGACAGACTGAGAGTGCAGTGTGCCCCCTGCCACCTCCTGCTAGCATCTGGCAAAACCCCAGTATCTTTCCATCCCCTGGGGTCATGATTTCCCTCCCACTGCCTCTGGGAGAGAAGGTCTCTCCCACCTTTTCTGATTTCTCAGGGTTTGGGACTAGGGAGCTGAAAGCAGAGACAGCAAGAGCCAGTGAAGACATTTTGTCCCCAGTCAGGCCCCATCTTGGGTGGGGAGTAGGACAAGGGGGAGCCCTGAGAGCTGCTGCTGGAGACACCCAGCCCCCGACCAAACCTCAGACACTTTCCATTTTCTCAGGAACAAAGCATGTTTGTGGGATGAGGTCATCCACACAGCTGCCTCTGGAACAGAAGCCTGGGGAGTAGAGCGGTAGGGAAGTGGGGTTCCCAAACCTTTCTGCTGCCCCTGATTCCAGTCACTAGCCCCAAAGTCAGAGCTCCCACCCCTGCTCTCCTCTATCATGAAGCCTGCTCTCTAAGGGCTGGGATACTGGGCTAGTGGAGAGGAACCACCAGGACCCATAGGAAGGAGATGTTCTCACAGCTGTGGATGAGCCCGGGGAAGTTACAATGACACACAAAGGAATCCACCAACCCACTCTCCCACAAGGCCCCAGTGCTGGCAGTCACCAGGGCCTGCCCTGGCTCAAGCTGAAGGAAAAGTCCTCCTTTTCTCATCCACCCCCAGTGCGAAATTCTTGACAAAAAGCGCTGCTCTGGCTTGAAGTTCAGACTCCAGGCACCAGCAGGCGCCCCCAGCTTGGAGGCCTGACTCTCCATACATCAAGCCTCTGTGCAATGGGAGAACAGCCAGCTCCCACTCCAGGCCAGGGTATGAGGCCACCAGGGGCCAGGGTCTTTAGAGCTGGAACTCCTGGGCTGGGGGCTACGGTGAAGCGTAGAGAAGATACTCTTCTTTCTCAGCCCCTTTCCTGCCACTCAGGCCCAGGTTTCCTCTGGCCCAACATCTGAGGATTGCCTGGGCTGTCAGCCACGGGGCAGCAGGGGGCCACACAGGTGGAATGTGTCCATGGGGGGTGCCTGGGCCTCTTCCTTCCTTCTTGGCTTGGCCCACTGCAGCTGCCACCTTCTCAGGCCCAGGCTAGCCTTGGGTCCACCCCCTGGGAGACAGTCAGCACTCAGAAACCAGGGCAACCCAAATAGGGTATGGGCATCGCTTCTATTTCCTTCCCAGAATCCCCCAATGCCCTAGTCTATCCAGCTGGACTCTGGTGAGGACAGAGTAAAGGGCACCAACAAGGCCCACCTGTCTCTGCCCATACCCCTCTCCCCGCCCTTTTCCCTGGCAAGGCTGGCGACTGAGGAGACTGAAGGGAGCCAGTCTTGTATTTCTTCCTGACTGGCAGTGGGGCGGGGTTTGGGGGAGACTGTTCCTCTACAGATGGCTCACAACCCCTGCACCTCCAACAATCTCCCCTCACAAGGCACCTCCCAGTGAACCTCCTGGAGCTCAGAATGGCTGTGTAACTGGCTATGGTGTATGAAGCCGCTCAAGCTACAAGGTTTGCATCCTGGCTCCTACACGTACTGGCTGGATGATCTTGCACAAGTCACTTAAGCTCCCCAAGCTTGTTTTCCCATCTAACTAAATGAGATACTACTACTTCCTACCTCCTAAGGTTGTTGTCAGGCTTAAATGTAATGATACTTGTAAAGCACCTGGCAGATAATAAATACTCAGAAAATAGTAAAATAGCTATTATTTTACTATTAGCACCCTCACTCATACTGGGGCCAGATAGCCCCAGTATAGTTTCACAGGCAGGTCTAGGTCAAGGAGCTGGACTGGAATTTTTTTTTTTTTTTTTTGAGACAGAGTCTTGCTCTGTCGCCCAGGCTGGAGTGCAGTGGCGCAATCTCGGCTGTCTGCAACCTCTGCCTCCTGGGTTCAAGTGATTCTCCTGCCTCAGCTTCCCGAGTAGCTGGGACTACAGGTGTGTGCCAACATGCCTGGCTAATTTTTTGTATATTTAGTAGACATGGGGTTTCACCGTGTTAGCCAGGATGGTCTCGAACTCCTGACCTCATGATTGCCTGCCTCGGCCTCCCAAAGTGCTGGGATTACAGGCATGAGCCACCGCACCCTGCCTGGACTGGAATTTTTAAATAGAGATGGGGTCTTGATATGTTGCCCAGGCTAGTTTCAAACTCCTGGGCTCAAGCTATCCTCTTGCCTTGGGTTCCCAAAGTGCTGGGATTACAGGCGTGAGCCACCATGCCAGCTCAGATTTTTTTTTTTTTTGAGACAGGGTCTCACTCTGTCACCCAGACTGGAGTGCAGTAACTCCATCTCAGCTCACTGCAATTTCCGCCTCCCGGGTTGAAGCGATTCTTCTGCCTCAGCCTCCCGAGTAGCTGGGATTACAGGAGGGCACCACCACACCCAGCTTAAACATTTTTGTATTTTTAGTAGAGATGGAGTTTTGCCATGTTGGCCAGGCTGGTGTTGGCTCGGCCTTTTTGTTTTTGTTTTTTTGTTATGAGTTGGGGTCTCACTCTGTTGCCAAGGCTGCAGTGCCATGGCACGATCATGGCTCACGGCAGCCTCAAACTTCTGGGCTCAGCCAGGCGAGGTGGCTTACACCTGTAATCCCAGCACTTTGGGAGGCTAAGGCAGGTGGATCACCTGAGGTCAGGAGTTCAAGACCAGCCTGGCCCATGGCGAAAACCCACCTCTACTAAAAATACAAAAATTAACTGGGCATGGTGGCAGGCGCCTGTAATCCCAGCTACTCAGGAGGCTGAGGCAGGAGAATCGCTTGAACCGAGGAAGTGAAGGCTGCAGTAAGCCAAGATCATGTCATTACACTCCATCCTGGGCTACAACAGCAAAACTCTGTCTCAAAAAAAAAAAAAAAAAAAAACTTACTCTGGGCTCAAGCAAGCCACCTGCCTCAGCCTCCTGAGTAGTTGGGACTACAGCCACGTGCCACCATGCCCAGCTAGGTTTTTCTATTTTTTGTAGTGATGGGGTTCTCACTATGTTGTCCAGGCTGGTCTTGAACTCCTGGTGATCCTCTGGCCTCAGCCTTCCAAAGTGCTGGGATTACAGGCGTGAACCACCGTGCCCAGCCTTGTCTGAAATTTGACCTGGACATTCTCAGCCTAGGCCCAGGGAGAGAATAGGAGGCCCCAGGCCCATGGGGCTTGCTGAGGACACCAGTGGCGGCAGTGGTTGCTCCAGCCCGGTCAGCCTGACTCTAGTAAGCATAACTCTTGAGATCTCCCACACAGGTCCACAGGCGTAGACACCTGCATGCTGCTTTGCCACTCACAAAGTCCATGCCCACCACCATCTCATCAGATCTCACAAAAGGCAGGCAGGACAGAGTATCATCCCCATTTTACAGATGAGCACAAGGAGGCAGGAATAGAGCAGGCTTATGCCCGAGGTCACTCAGTTATCAGGACCCAGGTCCCCTGCCTCCCAGGCCAGAGCTCTTCCGTCTCCCTAAAAATGCTGCCCTGGTGATGAAGGGGATGATCAGCTTTTAAGGGCAGGGGGACAGGAGATGCACCAGAGCCTGGCTCTTCTCCCCAGCTGCCAGCCCTGTGATTGGAAGGCACCCAGAAGCCTTTCCAATGCCCCATGCCAACCATTCAACTCTTCTGTCCCCCACCCCCAACATGCTCACTATCCAGGAGGACCCCGGCCAGGTCCCACAGCTGTGAGTCAGGATCAGAACAGACCCCTCCCCCACCTTCTAGAAGCTGACAGGAGACTTAAGGGGAGAAATTCAACTCCCTCAACCCTCACCCTCTGCTACCGGGCACCAACCCCAAGCTCTGCTCTCCCCCATGGGACCTGGAAGTCAGAGAAGTCTAGGGAAGGGGGCTGGGGAGCAGGATCCCGCAGCTGCTCTGGGGACAGGAGAGGAACAGTTCATTCACCCTGGGTCCCCCAGGGCAGAGGCAGCCTGTCCAAGATTTGAGTTTAAAAATAAGTTGGGGCTGTCTTGGTGGCTGTGTGTGTCCACGGGGTTCTTCTTGATCTCGAACTTACTGTCTCAGGGCCTCTACCTCATGGGGGATCGGTGGGCTCAGAGTTTCTGTTTCCCCACAGCCTCACTTCCCAATGGTTCAGGTCTGGGTAAGTCAGGGGCTGTCCTGGAAGCTGTCAGCCCACCTAGGTCTCTCTGCCCCCACTAAGTCTCAGTCTCTGGTGTCTGTCTCTGCTTCACTCAGCATCTCTGTGTCTAGGCACACTTCAGCTTCTGTCTTTAGGTTTTGGACGGCTCTGTATCTTGACTGGCTGTCCCCCGGCGGCCCATGCCTCTGTGGATCTCAAGTTTTGGTCTCTTCTTGTCTACATGGCTGAATGTCTCAATCCCCACCACATCCCTTTCTCTGTCTCTATATCCAAGTCTCTTTCGCCACCTCTGCATGCCTGAGTGTCTCTGTCTCTAGTCTCTGAGTGTCTCTGCAGGCCTCAGAGAGCAGATTCAGCCTGAGGCCAATGACGCCCAAGCCTCAGGGCACCTCCAAGGCCTGGGGAAGGGCCCCAGGGAATGTGTTCGCTGGGGTCCCACGTATGTTTTCTGAAAATGCTCCAGAAAGCCTGGGACGGCCCCCATGTCTCGGGTCTGTCCACCGGTAACACTGTACGCCCGGTGTGTCCTTGTTTCAATGGTCTCGGTAGCCTCCTCCTGTGCCTCGAGTCCCTGCCTGTCTTGGTCTCTCGCTCCACTGGGCTTTGCGAGAACCTCAGTTTCTCCAGCGCTTCTGGTCGGTCTGTCTCTATCCGGCTTTTCTATTTCAAACTTAGCCCCCTCCCCCGCCCAACTCTCGCTGCCGCCCCCGCCCCCGCCCCGCCCCGCCCCGCCCGGCAGCCCGGAGGGGTCTAGTCCGGGCGGGCGCTATCCCGGGCTCGGCGTGCCCCGGGCACCTGTGGCCAGAGCCTGGCGGGTACACGGGGCCGGGGCCGCGGCTGGCCTCAGCCCTCCGCGGGTCCTTTCGCTCCCCGGCCTGGGCGCGGGGGCGGACCGCCGGGGCTGGGAGCCGGGGTCGGCTGGGCGCTCACCTCTAAGCGGGCGGCGGGAGCGGGGAGCGCGCGGCGCGGGCGGGGCCGGGAACCGGGCGCCGCGTCCCTCGGCGGCTCCTACCTGCGGGCCGGGCCAAGCGGGGGCCGAGCGAGCTGCCGGCTAGGCTGCCGACTGCAGACGGACCGTGTGGGCGAGTGGGAGCGCGGCCCCAACCCCTCCCCGAGGAAGTGAGCGCGGGCCCGCCCCGCCCGGACCCCGCCCCCGGCCCCCCAGCCCGCCGCGGGGGCCAGACCCCGCCCCCACCTCCCTTTCGGCCGCCAGCGGGCCCGGCCCCCTCCTCCTACCCGGCCTAACCTGGCTCTCCCAACCTTCAGGCGGCCGGGACCCCGCCCCTGTCCCCTCCCCGCAGCCTCTGCTCTCCTCCCCTCCCACCCGCCATCCCCAGCTGCCAGAGGGAGACTGTTGTATTCCATCTCAGGCCGGGGACATCAGACCCCACAGACCATGGTCCACTGGGGAAGAGTCCTGTGGCCTCCTCGGATTCCCCCACCCCCTCACCTTACCCTTAGGGGTGACACTCAACCTGGCCTTAATCCAGCCTAGAGGAGGAGGTTTTGACTCTACTGTCATGAGCCTGTCAGCGGGCACCAATGTGTTCTCTGAAAACATGGGGCGAAGAGAGGACCCCTCCCCACCACAGGGCCTTGACCTCCAAAGGGTTTTACTCCACAACTTTGAGTAGCAAAAACAGGGGTAACCACCTCCCCACCTCCAGTGGCCTCCTGACGCTGAGAAGTCCTGTCTTGCCTGGGTTTCCGCAGTGCCCAGGAATAGTTTTGACCTTTGAGGCCCAGGAGAGACCCTAATCCTTGGCCCCATGATCTTTTGGCTTCTAGGGTGGGGTGTGAGGAGTGTGAGAGGATGGGGCACTGCAGGGGTGGTGGAGGAGAGGGGAGGGGACCTCTGCAGTGTCTAAACCTCTGGCTTCCTCCCTGTGTCCGTGAGGGAGGACTGGCGCCTGCTAGGGCCCCTCCAGGTCCTTGAGGCCACCCCCCCTGGGATCCTCAGGCTTGTCACTAGGAATAAATAGCCTCGGTCTGGAAGGGGTGGGGGAGGGAGGGAGGCAGGAGGCTCTACTGCGCTGTTAGTGGAAACAAGAGACAACAAACCAACCCTGGAATAACCTTAGCGTCTAGAGTGAAGATTCAGGTGCCCACAGAGGCCTCCCCACACCCCAGGCTGGGTGCAGCGGAGCTCTCACAGAGGAACTAACACCCTCCCAGGCTGGGACTCCTGAGAACCTTTCCCTCCCATCTCTGTGTCATGCCTGGGTTCCTGGGTCCCAAGTCACCCTCCAGGCCTGGTTTCCTTTCAAAATTAAATTATTGCTTGTTTATTATTGCTGTTGTTGCCTAAATGGTAAGAGCCATGAAGGCAGGGTTCCGTTTTGTTCCCCACAGCCTTCTCAGTACTTACTTCAATATCCGGCACATAATAAACATCTGATGAATGAATGGATAGCAGACACTGCTTCAGTATGTATGCCCGTCTAACATCCTTGGTTTGTATCACAGGCACCTGTTATCTGGAGTCCAGGCAGTGAGCATCCAGCCCATGGATAGGGCCTTTCTCTGGGATTTTTTTTTTCTTTTTCTTTTTTTTGAGACAGAGGCTTGCTCTGTCACCCAGGCTGGAATACAGTGGCGCAATCTCGGCTCACTACAACCTCCACCTCCTAGGTTCAAGCGATTCTTCTGCCTCAGCCTCCCGAGTAGCTGGGACTGCAGGTGCGCACCATCACACCCAGCTAATTTTTTTTATATTTTTAGTAGAGACGGGGTTTCACCATATTGGCCAGGATGGTCTCAAACTCCTGACCTCGTGATGTGATCTGCCTGCCCCAGCCTCCCAAAGTGCTGGGACCACAGGCGTGAGCCACCATGCCCGGCCTCTCTGGGATGTATCTGGCAGGTGTAAGGGACTCCCAGCCCAGGGGAGTGCAGTGAAGACTACTCAGCCTTGGTGGAGTGGGTACCAAGAGGAGGTCAGCTCTGGGGGACGGGAGCACAAAGGTGGGGAGCCTTCAGAAAGCAAGGGGAAATGAGTGAGTACAGAAGGGGCCTGATAAAAGGCAGAGTATTCGAATCTCTGTTCTTGATGCATGGCTCTAATCTCTCCTAAATAGTCTTAATGAGAGCCAGTACTTACTGAGTTCTTTCTTTGCACCACTCCTAAACACTTTACATATATTGAAGTGATTATTCAATAACTTTATTAGATATATGTGCATATATATTTGTTTGTTTTTGAGACAGTGTGTTGCTCTGTCACCCAGGCTGGAGTGCAGCGGTGCAATCACAGCTCACTGTAACCTTAACCTCCTGGGCTCAAGTGATCCTCCTACCTCAGTCTCCCAAGTAGCTGGGACTACAGGCGTGGGCCACCACACCCAGCTAATTTATTTTAATTTAAATTTTTTGTAGAGGCAGGGGTCTTATTAAGTTGCCCAGGCTGGTCTTGAACTCCTGAGCTCAAACGATCCTCTTGCCTCAGCCCCACAAAGTGCTGGGATTACAGGCATGAGCCACTACTCCTGGCCTAAATATATATTTTCATCCTCATTTTAAAGATGAGAAAATGGAGGCACAGAGAGATCAAGTAACCTGGCAAGGGTGACACAGGTAATAATGGCAAAGCTAGGATACAAATCCTGATGGTTGGTTGGGCATGGTGGCTCTTGTCTGTAATCCCAGCACTTTGGGAGGCTGAGGCAGGAGGATTGCTTAAGCCCAACAGTTTAAGACCAGATCTGGGCCAGATGTGATGGCTCACACCTGTAATCCCAGGATTTTGGGAGGCCAAGGCGGGCGGATCATGAGGTCAGGAGATTGAGACCATCCTGGCTAACACGGTGAAACCCCGTCTCTCCTAAAAATACAAAAAATTAGCCAGGCGTGGTAGCGGGTGCCTGTAGTCCCAGCTATTCAGGAGGCTGAGGCAGGAGGATGGCGTGAACCTGGGAGGCAGAGCTTGCAGTGAGCCACTGCACTCCAGCCTGGGTGACAGAGTGAGACTCTGTCTGGAAAAAAAAAAAAAAAAAAAGACCAGATCTGGCAACATAGTGAGACCCCCATCTCTATTAAAAAAAAAATCAAATCGACTGGGCGCGGTGGCTCACGCTTGTAATCCCAGCACTTTGGGAGGCTGAGGCAGGCGGATCACGAAGTCAAGAGTTTGAGACCAGCCTGGCCAACGTGGTGAAACCCTGCCTCTACTAAGAATACAAAATTAGCTGATCGTGGTGGTGGCGCCTGTAATCCCAGCTACTTGGGAGGCTGAGGCAGGAGAATCGCTCGAACCCAGGAGGAGGAGGTTACAGTGAGCCAAGATCGCGCCACTGCACTCCAGCCTGGGCGACAGAGCAAGACTCTGTCTCGGAAAAAAAAAAAAAAAAATCAACTCTAGACAGTCAGAAGTGGTAGTGCCCTATGCCAAAAACGAGCTTCACCATTAGGCTCTAGTATCTGTAGTCATTCATTCTCTGTAAACCTCAGTCTTCTCACTGTGAAAAGTCTGCCTCACAGCATTGTTGTAAGGATTGGATGAGAGCACACAATAGGTTGTCAGTATGTGGGGACAGTCCCCCTTTTCATGGTCAAATGTTAAGGTTCAGCTACTTGGACTTGGAGTCTGGGGGCCAGAGAAAGTTAGCTCTCTGCTTGGGCCACCTGGGCTAGAGAAACCGGCCTAGGGGCAAGCCTCCCACAGTGAAGTTGTGTCTCCCTGTCTCAATTTCCACTCCCCAGTAGGCTCACATTTCCCTGCTCACTCTATTTTCGTTGGCCCAAGAGGACGTGCCCCAGGGAAGTCCAGGGATCAACCACATGGACTCCCTGTTCCTGTTCCCTGTCTGTCCTTCCCCCTCCCTGGGAAACAGGTGTGTCTGAACTGGGGCTGGAAGCAGAGCCTGAGAGCTGGATGACTGGTCTTGGGTGAGTAGGATCCTGTTGTCCCTCACTCACCCTAGAGGTCCCCACACATTCTTCTTTATCTCATGCTTAGGGCACCCCTGCTGTTTTTTCACTCTGCAAGGGTTTTCAAAAGGAGGCCCTGGGTGGCTACTGACAGGCCTCTCATGGTTTCCTCTGGGTGCTGAATCACTCTCTGATGCCTGTAACCACAGGCCCTCCTTCCCCCTAGTGAGAACACAGCCTTTCTTCTCTGGGTGTATTGCTCACTCTTACTTACTGGCTGCCTAGAGCCCTTGAAGGCCTCAAGGCTTTGTAGATAACCTCTTCCAAATTGTATTTTTAGTGGAGACGGGGTTTCACCATGTTGGCCAGGCTGGTCTCGAACTCCTGACCTCAAGTGATCTGCCCGCCTCAGCCTCCCAATATGCTGTGATTACAACCATGAGCCACTGTGCCTGGCCGCCTAGAAACTTTCCTTGTGACCCCAAGCTGGACACTGAATTTGTGGGTGGAGAGGATGAAATAAGTAAGTGACTTTCACAGAGCTTGGGAAGTGGGAAGGGCAGAGCAAGAATTAATGTAGTTAAATGTTGACTGTGTGAAGGGCACCATGCCATGTGGTACTCATTACCTCCTTCTGTCCTCACAAAAAACAGATGAGATGGTTATTATTATTATCATCATCATCACCATTTGACAGAGTAAGACAAGCTCAGAGTTTGACATCATAGCCTCAAATCACAAGACAATAGGTGATAGATATGAAGCCAGGGCTGACACCAGGGTCCCCCTGTCTAATGTACAGAGCTAGCTTCTCTTGGGTATACTGGTCACCCAGTGCCTTCTTCGGGGGAAGAGGCAGGAGTGGCTGGGGCTGCCACCTAGTCACCCTGCCTGATAGCTCGTCTTCTTAACGGAAATGAGGCTGGAAAGGTGAGCATGGGCAGATTATAAAGGGCCTTGTCTTCCAATGATAAGTGATACATGAGATGGAATTTTGTTAATGCAGGAGGCCCTAAATGGGCAAGGCTCAAACTCATACTTTCAGCTCTTTCATACCCACTGGTCGACTGGACTGGCATTTCTGGGGACTAAGGAGAGGATTTCCCTAGAGCTCCTGAGCTAGAGGAGTTACCTCTGTCATGAGAAATGGGTGCAATTATACACCCTGTTTCATGTGGTGGAAAAGAAACCAAATGCCTCTGGAACGCTCTACTGTGCCCAATCCTCTCTCTAAACTTAAAAGCAGGTTTAGTAATAATAAAAATAACAATAGTAACTCCATTTTATTGTGAACTTGATAAGGAATAAAAACAGCATTAAGCACTTTAAACATATTTCATTTCATCATCAAAACAGTCCTGTGGGTATAGTATTATTACTACCTCAAGATGGGGAGATGGAGGCTCAGTGAATCGAACTTCACCTTGACTGGGGTGGCATCAGAACACACCTCATGGGTCCTTACCTTGTACTGCCTCTGATTCTCGTATCGTCAACCAGCCATTCCCTTGGGGATGTGAGGGACTCGGAACTTTATAGCTATTGTCATTGGGTGATTCCCTTCTATGCTCTTTACAGATATGACTCCTCAGTTCAACTGTGAGCTCTTGACAGCAATATGAGGCAAGAAGTGCATGTTATTATTATCCTTATTTTATGCTTGAGAAAAATGATACTCATTAAAGTCAAGAAACCTGCCAAAAATCACACAACCTGTAAGTGAGTGGCAGAGCAGGTATGATTTTAAGGTCTCTTGTCTCTCTATAGAATGTTTTTTTCCAGTACACTGTTGTAGAGGAGCAAAAAATGGACAGGTCAGATGAATGACGTTTATATAATGTCCTGAGTCACAGAAAAGAATAGTGGCATGGGGCCTCTGGGGGCCGGTGGCAACACAAATTATGGGAAGGTGAGGGGAAGAAATGTCCTGTTACGGAGATAAAATTTCTCAGGAAGTAATAGTTGTCAGCCCTCTTCTTGACACAGATACCTCATTAAAAATGTAGATTTCCTTTGTAGGTGTAAATTTATTTCTACAAAAGGAAGGACAGCTTTTCAGAGCAACTCCCGTGTCTGCAGTTTCTCAGCATAACCAGCTGAAAGAAATAAGCCAGAGAAATATATATTTTGGGGTGGGCATATTCTGGCCTCCCACAGTCATATTTTGGAGTGGCGTGTCCTGAGCCCCAACACTGTTTTTTTGTTGTTGTTGTTTTTTGAGACGAAGTCTCACTCTATTGCCCAGGCTGGAGTGTAATGGTGCAATCTCCGCTCACTGCAACCTCTGCCTCCCAGGTTCAAGTGATTCTCCTGCCTCAGCCTCCCTAGTAGCTAGCATTACAGGTGCACGCCACCACGCCCAGCTAATTTTTGTATACTTTTTTTTAAGGAGTGACAGGGTTTCATCATGTTGGTCAGGCTGGTCTCGAACTCTTGACCTCGTGACCCGCCTGCCTCGGCCTCCCAAAGTGCTGGGATTTCAGGCGTGAGCCACCTGCCCCGGCCAGCCCCAACACTGTTAAATCCGAAAATCCGCTTTAAACTGCTCTAGCTTTAAACATACCGCCTAAATACAGCAACCCGTGCCGAGCCGTAAGTGACCGCACATGCGCACACTCCGAGCCCAGCTCAGACGGAGGCCAGTGCCAGCCACGTGTTCCCAAGTGCCCACGCGGACCGAGCGCGAAGGCGAGATCTGGGTAGCGTGGAGAGGCGCTAGCGAATAAGAACTGGTTCTTGGAGAGTCACGAGACTAGATCTAGGAAACTACACTTCCCAGAAGCAGCCTGCGGTGACTGCCTGTGTTGGATGGCGTACATCCGGAAAACCGGCTCCGGATAGGTTGCTTAGAGGAAGTGGGCGGTTCTAAACCACGGGGGGCTAGGCCTGTTTCCGGTAGGAATTAGTGGATTCGGCGGCAGAGGCAGTGCGGATCCGGCGTTGTCCAGTGAGTTTTTCCAAGGCTGCATAGAGATGGCGGCGGCTTTTCGAAAGGCGGCTAAGTCCCGGCAGCGGGAACACCGAGAGCGAAGCCAGGTAGGACCACACAGGCCCCACGAGTGCTGGCCCTTGTCGCCATGTGTTACTCTCTCCCCAACCCTGTCGCCACTGTGGGATCCGGGTCCAAACTGTATATAAATGCACGCAAATGTATGCTAATGACGCTGGTGTGTCTGGGGCGGAGCTTCGTGGGAACGAGTGGAGGGGATTTGTCGTTTCCGTTCTAGGAAGAGCAGGGTTGCTCCCCTTTCCTTGGGGATATAAAACCTACTCTGGAAGATTTCAGTGTGGTGATTGAGTAAGATAATGCCTGTCAAGTGCCTGGCCTTTTCTGAGGAGTTGAGGTCAGAGCTCATATAGGCAAAACTGCCGGGCTGAAATTGGATCCCATGTCTAATGCTCAGCTCCGCCTGCTGCATATGGGGGTCCTGACCGAAGAGACTGTCCTTACTAATGTGTTATCATCATCACACTGGGCTTGTGGTTCATGAAGATCTGCCACATGTGCTATTTGTTTATGTCTTACCCCTTAATGTTGGCCTTTTCCATTCCCATTATACAGATGAGGAAACTGAGGTCCAGAGTGTTGACTTGTCCAGTTACAAACACCAGATTCAGGCAGAGTAAACAGTTCTAGGATTTCTATGGTGAATGCGTCTGTGTAGGGAGGTTGAGTAGAATTAAGCTTATGTGCAGAATCAATTGAAACACTGTCAGGAATCCCGTGCTTAATATCTGATTCAGAGAGGCCCTTAGCATATGTGTGTGCTCCCTCTTAATTTTACAGATGAGGAAGAGAGGGGAAAGAGTTGTGCAGCTGACTGATGGGATAGAACTAAGGCCTCTTAACTACAGTTCAGTCTTCCTGCTTAATAGCATATATCAAACTTTTTTTTTTTGAGATGGGGTCTCGCTCTGTTGCCCCGGTTGGAGTGCAGCGGTACAATCTCGCCTCACTACAACCTCCGCCTCCCGGGTTCAAGCGATTCTCCTGTCTCAGGCTCCCGAGTAGCCGGGACTGTAGGTACGCACTACCATGCCCTGCTAATTTTTGTATTTTTAGTAGAGATGGGGTTTTGTCAGGTTGTCCAGGCTAGTCTCGAACTCCTGACCTCAGGTGATCCACACACCTTGGCCTCCCAAAGTGCTGAGATTACAGGCATGAGCCCCTGCACCTGGCCAAAACTATCACCTTTTGAGCACTTACTATATGCTAGGCACAGCCCTGCATTTTACAAATGAGGAATCTGGTGCTTAAAGATTAAGATTGAATAGTATATCCAAAGTCACAGTTGTAAGTAGTGGAACTGGATTAGCAGAGAAAACAGAGGGCTTTCAAAGCTGGCTGTGGACATGGCATGGCCATGGCTGAGTAGGAACGGAAGGCCTATGTGGAAGAGGTGAGAAAAAGGCCATCCTGAAAATATGGGTAAATCATTGACACAAACGTTCCATATTTGAGTCGTTTGGACTTTATCCTGTAGATCCTTCAGTAGGGCAGTGAGGGAGCTACTGAAGATATTTTATATGAAAGGTGTATGTGTTATTACGTAAACTGTTTTAGATCCAATACCAGGTTTCCTTCTGTAATGCGGGTGTACATTCAGGTGGACATGAGAGATTTCAAGAGTTCTGCCTCACCTCATGTTGTTGCTCTTTTGACCCTTTAGCTTACTTTCTCTACTCTGTCAACCTCCCTTTGTCTGCTGTAATTAAAGTTAAAATTATTAGGGGAGGTTTGGTGTTATTTTACTTATTTTTTTGAGATAGTGTCTCCTTCTGTTGCCAAGGCTGGAGTGCAGTGGGGCAATCATGACTCACTTCAGGCTCGACCCACTCACTCAAGCCATTCTTTTGCCTCAGCTTCCTGAGTAGCAGGGACCACAGATGTGTACTGTGACACCCAGCTAATTTTATTTTATTTTTTTAATTTGTGGAGATGAGGTCTCACTGTGTTGCCCAGGTTGGTCTCGAACTTCTGGGCTCAAGTGATCTGCTCATCTCAGCCTCCCAAAGTGCTGGGATTGCACATGTGAGCTTGGCCTTAAATAGCTATTTATTGCATCACTTGAAGGATAAAAGATGAGAAAGATGACTGTTAAAAATCCTACCCAAATTAGGCCGGGCGCAGTGGCTCACGCCTGTAACTGCAGCACTTTGGAAGGCCAAGGTCAGGAGATGGAGATCATCCTGACCAACATGGTGAAACCCTGTCTCTACTAAAATACAAAAATTAGTGGGGCATGGTGGTGCACACCTGTATTCCCAGCTACTCGGGAGGCTGAGGCAGGAGAATTGCTTGAAGCCAGGAGGCGGAGGTTGCAGTAAGCCAAGATCGCACCATTGCACACCAGCCTGGCGACAGCAAGACTCTGTCTCAAAAAAAAAAAACTTACCCAAATTATTATTATACAAATTTTTTTTGTTTGTTTTTTTGAGACGGAGTCTCGCCCTGTTGCTCAGGCTGGAGTGCAGTGGTGCGATCTTGGCCCACTGCAACCTCCGCCTCCCGTGTTCAAGCAATTCTCCCGCCTCAGCCTCCCGAATAGCTGGGATTATAGGCACTCACCATCATGCCCAGCTAATTGTTGTATTTTTGTGGAGACGGAGTTTCACCAGGTTAGCCAGGCTTGTCTTGAACTCCTGACCTCAGGTGCCCCACTCACCTTGGTCTCCCAAAGTGCTGGGATTACAGCATGAGCCACTGCACCCAGCCTATTATACAAGTTTGCAACACTAGAGAAGTGTGTGCATTTCCCAAAATGTTAACATTATTCGCAACAGAAGAGGACTCAGTCTACTGTGATGGCCCCAGGGAGAATGGGTTCTAGTTTTGGCTCTGCTGCTTATTAGTTCTGTGTTCTTGGGCATATCATTCTCTAAACGTCATTCTCTTTATGGAAAACTGGGGTAGCAATAGTGCCTGTTTCACCTTCTTTACAAGGTTGTTGTGGGGATTAAATGAAATTGTGTAACAAGCATAGCACATTGCAAGACCCTGACATGTACTAAGTGCTCAACAAATAGTAGTATGTAGAAAGATCATACCAAGATTTAATCCTTATACCTTCCGTGCTCTCCAAGCCTACGTCAGAGAAAGGACTTTCTGTCATACTTTTGTCTCATACCTAGTACCACAAGTATAATAATGGTAGTAAACTCATGCTGGATAGCTGCTATGTGTCAAGCCATGTGCAGGCATTACCACTTACATGAGCTCCTTGAATCCTCAGGATAACACGGAGAAGCAGGTACTATTTTCATGTTACAGTCAGGAAATAGCCGTTCAGAGAAGTTAAGTGACATGCCCAAGGTCACAGATTGTTCAGAGGTAAAACTTGGATTTGAACCCACATCTCCAGACTCTAAATTTAGCTCCCTTACCACAGTTGCCTCCCTGTTACTATGTTTTCCCTTTGTAGTATTTTATAAACCCTTGGATTAAGTTGGTAGTAATTTTAGTACAACTGGCAACTGCTTGCTTAGTGCCGAGTCATTGTTGCCTCTCTCTGTCCTTAATAGGCCAAGAAACCTACTACAGCAGTGCTTGTGACCTGTCTGGTGCTGGCAGGGTCCCTCTCATCCTTGGGCAGAGCCCAGTTGTGGGGAGGGGAGGGGACAGGGTCATGGGTTAGCTCCAAGGACTGGATTTACTGAGCGCTTCAGAGACTCCTGTGCCTGTTAGGTGTCATGTTGATTTGGATATGTGTTCGCGGAGGAAACTAAACAATGTTGTTTTTTCTTTTGTCTTCTAGCCTGGCTTTCGAAAACATCTGGGCTTGCTGGAGAAAAAGAAAGATTATAAACTTCGTGCAGAGTGAGTTCAGTCTTTCTGGTAGAGGCGCTGCCAAGAAGCTTACAACCTCCTTGCACTGCAGCTGAATTGCCTGAGTGTCCAACAGGGGATAATTTCCTGCCATTGATAAAATGGCCAAAGCTCTGGCAGCCTGTCAGATAATTTTTTCTGTGACCCTAAATTTCTCTCTTTGTTTAGGCAGATCATTATTTATTTAACTGTAGATGCATTGTGAATTATTTGTATTATGTTGTTCCAGATCATTTTCTCATAGTGGCTTTGATTTGGCTCTGCCTTGGTGTTTGAGCCCAAAGCTGAATCTTTTTTCTCTTTGTTTTCTTGAAGTGCAAGATATAATCTGAAATTCCATTTGTTGAGTCTCTTACATACCATGTGTGTGGTGTGGAATGAAGAGATGTGAAAGATGGATTCATGAGACCACGCGTGGGTGATAATGAACTCTGAAAGCATTTTATAAAACAATTATCCCCATTCTTCTTCTCTATTAGCACTTTATTTGCAAAATACTTCTTAATTATTTGTTAGCCATACATGTCAGCTGAGGTCCTTTTTTTTTTTTTTTTTTTTGAGATAGAGTCTTGCTCTGTTGCCCAGGCTGGAGTGCAGTGGCCGGATCTCAGCTCACTGCAAGCTCTGCCTCTCGGGTTTACGCCATTCTCCTGCCTCAGCCTCCCGAGTAGCTGGGACTACAGGCACCCGCCACCACGCCTGGCTAAGTTTTTGTATTTTTAGTAGAGACGGGGTTTCACCGTGTTAGCCAGGATGGTCTCGATCTCCTGACCTCGTGATCCACCCGTCTCGGCCTCCCAAAGTGCTGGGATTACAGGCTTGAGCCACCGTGCCCGGCCAGCTGAGGTCCTTCTTATGCCCCTGGTCTAGATGGTGGTGATGGATTAAATGGGTTTCTGTAGGTCCCAGAGATTTTAAGCCTAATGATAATTAAGTGTTGTTATTGGGCCAGGCAGTGTTCTAGGATATTTTACCATTTTTACACTGATTCTTCCCTCCCAACAACCTTCTGGGATAGGTTACTATTATCGTATTCATTTTACAAGTGAAATTGGGATGCAGGATGGTTTGATAACTTATCCAAGGTTACTTAGCCAGAAGTTGTCAAGTCCAGATTTGAACGCATGCTGTCTGGCTGCAGAGTCCATGATTCTAGTCATTGTGCTATACTGTACTGTGTAGTTTCTGAGTTATATGTGGTCATCTGGTGCCCAAGCTTGCACCATATCCTGTCTAAGGACTTTTAATTTGTACTTTGTTTGGTGTTTCCCTGTAATGATATAAATGGCACTGAAACATACGTGGGCTGGGGACAGTTAATTTCAGATTCCACTGGAGTAGGAACTGTTGATTAGATTGTGGACCCTGCGAAGCGTGAGCTCAGCTCAGTGACAGTGGAGTGTCCATCAGATCCAGTCACTGCTTTGGCTTTTTTGAGTTTCGCTCTGTGTGGCCTTTTAGATGCTTGTAAAGTTTGCTTATTGTGGGTTTTGGTTTTTAAAAATTATCTTTTTGTTTTTTGCTATGAACCTCATTTAACCTGTCTTTTAGTGACTACCGTAAAAAACAGGAATACCTCAGAGCTCTCCGTAAGAAGGCTCTTGAAAAAAATCCAGATGAATTCTACTACAAAATGACTCGGGTTAAACTCCAGGTGGGTGCCCAGTGGCTTGGTTGGTGTTTTGAGCTCCCCACATTGGAAAATAAGGGCAGAGAGGAGATGGAGAGGAAGGATCCTTGGCCTTAATTTAACCCTTCTCTGGTTACTCCAGGTGCTCTTGGTCAGTGTCCAAGGCAAACCTTCTACTTCCAGAGGAGTGTGCATTTCTGCCTTTGATTCTGGGTTATCTTACACCCGGAGCTGTTCTAGGATGGATGACTGGAGGTGCCACACTGAACGTGTGCCTCAGGGGCCTGTGTCTAGGATTGCTGTTAGCATACAGCATTTGGTTGTCTTTTTTTTGTTTTGTTTTGTTTTGTTTTGTTTTGAGATGGAGTCTCTCTGTCGCCCAGGCTGGAGTGCAGTGGTGCGATCTCGGCTCCCTGCAACCTCTGCCTCCTGGGTTCAAGTGATTCTCGTGCCTCAGCCTCCCAAGTAGCTGGAACTACAGGCACACACTACTGTGCCCAGCTAATTTTTTGTATTTTTAGTAGAGAAAGGGTTTCACCATGTTGGTCAGGCTGATCTTGAACTCCTGACCTCAAGTGATCTGCCCATCTTGACCTCTCAAAGTGCTGGGATTACAGGTGTGAGTGACCACACTTGGCCTATGGTTGTCTTTGTTCTAGATTGATGGCACATGCACTGTGCCAACAACTTATTAATGATTTTTAATGTAATAGGGAATATATCTTTTAAATTTGGATTTTAGGATGGAGTACATATTATTAAGGAGACTAAGGAAGAAGTAACCCCAGAACAACTAAAGCTGATGAGAACTCAGGACGTCAAATATATAGAAATGAAGAGGGTTGCAGAAGCTAAGGTAATTCATTTTTTGTTCTGATTCGTTTTATTGGTTAAGAAAGGAAACTTAAATATATCAATCTCAAGGTATTTGTTAATTTCTTCTGGCATTTACAATCTCACTTGATTGTAATAATGATTTAGAAGTATAGTTAGCATGGTAGAGTGGAAAGAGTTCAGGTTTGGAAATGAGACAGACCTAGGTTTGAGTTCTGGCACTGCCAATTACTAGCCTCATGACAATGGGCAAATTCAACTCCCTGAGGCTCTTCCCTCATTTCTGTCTCAGGGGACTGTTACAAGGATTTTTTTTTTTTTTTTTTTTTTTTGAGATGGGAAGTCTCCCGTCTGGTCGCCAGGCTGAGTGCATGGCGCTGTGTCTCGCTGCACTGCAAGTCCACCCTCGCCGGGGTTGCAGCGGGCATTCTTGCCTCAGCCTCGCCGAGCTTAGCTGGGGACTACAGGCGCCCGCCGCGACGCCCGGGCTAATTTTTTCATTTTTTTGTATTTATAGTAGAGAATGGTGGTTTCACGTGTTAGCCAGGATACGGTCTCGAACTCCTTGACCTCGTGATCCGCCCGCCTCGGTCCTCCCAAAGTGCGTGGATTACAGGCGTGACCACCGCGCCGGCCGCGCTGTTAACAAGAGATTAAGTGCAATCCTGGGAGAGTGCGCCCAGGTACCTGATATGTGTTGATCCGTTTCCTTTAAAAGAATTAAAGCAAGTTCTTTTGCTGGCTGGCAATAATGATGATGAATATGGCTTAAAATTTTTGCTAGTTTTTTTTTTGGACTCGTCATGTAAGAATATTCTTTTTAATAAAGTGTGTGTACTTATGTTGTGATAATGAGCTTTGAGCTCCACTGTTGTGGTTTGTATTTTCTCCGAGGGGAAGCGAAACAGAAACATTGTCATGTGTTCTGGTTTTTGGACACCAAAAATGTATTATGGTTTATGAATGGTTGTTTGTGATTATTGATGTTGTGTCAGTCGAGCCAGTGTCTTATTGTGCGTGTTGTGGTTGTTATATGTGTCATGTCTCTAGATGTGTGTGTAATTTATGATATCTATTTGTATCGTTGGTCGTATATGCACT